AGTGTTTCCAGGCATAAGGAATTGTGATTTGGAATGATCTAAGTGTTAAAAATTCATGATCAGTTTAGTAGTGTAGTGTCATTTGATTAAGGGAGAGTAAGTCCACCGAATGTATTGATGAGAAATTAATCTTTAATAACATTACTTTTTCCTTAAGGGAGCTTTGGTGGCCTGGTCATAATAAGTAGCACTGCAATCCTGAAGGCACGTGGTTCAAATCCACCAGCTGCTAGGAAATTTTGAAAACCACCACCACAACTAAAATGCCACAAAATTCAGGAGTGAATGAAACGGAAACAAAGCCCTATTATCAGGCAATAATATTTCCTAAGCCACAGTTCACCAAGGTTCTCACCAACGTTCACAAGGCATAAAGGCAAACAGAAGCCACACTGATGATATAGACAAATGGATTAAAAGGGGCATGTGATGGAAATCAAGACACAGAAGTCAAAAGGCAGGACCTTCCTCCTGAGCCCTGCATTTATTAGAGTCCAGCTGTTTACTTAGCTACTCTGTAGGTTGCTCACACTCAAGCGACCTAAAACTCAGTTTTGTGAATGTGAGTTTTTCCTACTTTCTTTCACCACCAGAGTTACCCTGGAGAATGCCATTTTGATCAAGTCACCCTGACCATCCCACAACACAAACAAGACAAAGACTCCACATCCCGGTTCAACCTCCCGTTCCAGGCCCAATACTATCCTACCTGCGCTAGTTCTCACCTGATTGTGACTGACCCAGCCTGCTGCCTGCCTGCCTTTGGAAGGTTTTCTCACATTTCCTACCCCTAGACATTTCTTTGATTTTTTTTTACTCGTCCTCCATGTCCCAAATCTCTCATGTTGCGTGAGGGGCCTCTGGAGCTCATGTGTCTAATTCTCTTCCCCTTGCCTTCGTATCTTGGATGGCTACTGTACCTCTCTGTCCACACTTGTGTCAACTTTTAAACTCTTCCAGTTTATGACTTTTAGTGATTAGCAAATCTCCAAAATTTAACAAATGCATGTGTATTAACAGTGAAATACTGACTCACTGCAAATCCGGAAGAGCTTATTAGCATAATTGAAGACTGCAAAAGTAAGACTGGGAAAAACTGCTAAAATAGAATCTCTGAGGACAAATGTGAAAGGCTCTAGAGACCATTAAATAAAGAAAGAAGTTTGGCAAGGCTAGGACTGAGAGCAGGTCTTGTGGCCTTCGTGAACGCTTCCATGAGCACAGATGAAACCTGTTCCCTGGGATGTCCCTCAGAGTGGTGCAAAAGGTTGAATAATTTAAAAGCGATGCATGATAGGGTATTATGTTTATCACAAGAGTCCACAATTTTAGGGCTGCATAGTGGAATGTACTTGGGATGGTGGGAGGGGTGCGGGGGGATTGTGTACCAGGGAGGGAGTTTTTCTTTTACTATTCAAAGAGAAGAGAGAACTAGGGGGGATGGGGGGAAGGCTGGGCAGGGAGAGAAGTGAAGCAATGAATAAATGGAAATCCAAAATCTCTGTAAATGTTCACTAAAATTATTAAAATAATAAAAAATTTAAAACAAAAAGGTTGTTGGTTTGAATCCACTTAGAGGGGTCTAGGAAAAAGGCCTGATGATCTACTTCTGAAAGATAACAGCCATTGAAAAGCCCGGGAAGCACAGTTCTAAGAGGACACACATTGAGTTGTCATTAGAAGGGATTAACTCCCAAGCAAGAGCATTGGTGCGTTTGTGTGTTTGGTCTTTGGGACGAGGTGGCATCTATAGTGAGGAGTAGAACATCCAGCTAATAAGACACACTTTCCACTGTGCAGCCTTCACTCTGGCCTCCTGTCACGACAATTACACCCAGTCACCTCTCCCTCATCTGTTTCAATGCAGTATACATTATCCATCCATGACAGGAGTCTAGAATGAAGGCTGCATAGTGGAGGAGACTTGGGGGGAGAGACTGCATAACAATGAAAGAGGTTTTCTTTTCGTTTTCAAGAAGAAGAGTGAATTGGGGGAAGAGTGGGCAGGGAGAAAAGTGTAACAATTATGTCTGGAAACCCCAAGTCTGTAAACTTTCATTAAAATTAATTTAAAAACTAATTAATAAAAAAGCACTGGTTTAAAATTTTTAAAAAGACACACTTTCAGTAACTGTATGCTTAACAGCTTAATTCAACTATATTGATTGGTTTTTTGTTTTTTTGTTTGTTTGTTTGTTTGTTTTTATGATGAGAAAAATTTATTACATTTAGAATTAGCCCGCTGGACTCAGTTTAGATGATCCCAATTTTGTTGGCAACATCCAAAGCATCATAATCAGGAGCAAGTGGAACATAGGCCTTCTTCTCTCCATCAGGCCTAATCAAAGTGTTGACCTTGGCCACACCAGTGTCATAGAGCTTCTTTACAGCTTGTTTAATTTGGAGCTTATTGGCCTTGACATCCACAATGAACACAAGTGTGTTGTTATAGTCTATCTTCTTCAAGGCTCACTCAGTGGTCATGGAAGACCTGATGATGGCCTAGTGGTCAAGCTTGTTTCTCTTAGGAGCGCTCTTCCAGGGGTATTTGGGCTGCCGTCGGAGTCTCAGCTTCTTAGGCCGCCAGAAGGTGGGTGACGTGTGGATCTTCTTTTTTTTTTTGGCTGTGGATGGCCTTCATGACGCCTTCTTGGCCTTCAATGCCTTTGCTTTGGCTTCAGTTTTGGGAGGGGCAGGGGCTTCCTTCTTCGCTTTCGGCGCCATCTTCGTAGAAAGGGTCTCTCAAACACGTTCTCACGGGCTTATAGCGGTTTTTTTTTTTATGTAAGCCTCTTATTTAAAGTCAGCAAGACCTCAGGAAAGGCCTTTGTATTTAAAAGTCGGTTGTTATTGTATTTTGGAGGAACATTCTTCTAAGTGGTACAGCATTCACTGTGCTGTACAGAGGTAACCTGAGGTTGCAGTGATGCTGAACCTTGTGCTATTGGGGTGTCAAATGCCATAACAGTTACCCATGGTGGACAGTGTTTGGAGGAGCTCCCAGTTTAAGACAGGTTTGGAAGCAGGAGTGGCATCCACTTCCTAAACAATATGCTCCTGGAAACTCTATAAACTTTGAGAAATGATGATAGTTATAGAAAGACTTCAGGCCTTTTGTTCATAGGGTCGTTATGAGCCATGCTCAACTCGGCAGCAATCAACAACAACATTAGTAATATATGAAGAGGTGAAGAAGGGTCTTTAGAATCAGAATTCCGTATTTGGCAAGTAAAATTCTGTTGAGAAAATGAATATCTAATAACATGAAGGTGATGCTGTTTGGCACACCACATATCTGAAACAAAGACTATCAACGTCTTTTGCTGTCAACACCAACAATGAGGTCTGACCGATCTGTTAATGTCTTTGGAGATTCTAAAATACATCCTAAAACGAGGAGGAGACACCAGCATGCCCATAGGGGAAAGTAAGTGGGAAGAAAGTTCATAGAAGGTACAGAATAGAAAAAGGAGACGCCAGCAATGAAAAATGCTACTCCCGACTGATTACAATTTACAAATTCTGCTCGAAAGCTAATGACAGAAGAAAGAATGATTATTTAAAAGAATAATTTCCTATTACTATTAGGAATTTTTTAAAGAGAAAAGTGATGGGGAGGGGTAGGGAAGAAAATGTGCAACAGTGAATGAATGGAAATCCAAGTTTTCTGTAAACTGTCATTAAAATCACAATTTTTTTTTAAAAAAAGTAATAGTAAAGCGTTAGCACACCCCTGATTTGAGCATGATTACTAATAAACCCAAAGTTATAATTTAAATGAATTTTAGTTGGTTAAAGATATGATGTTGTTGTTGTTATGCTGTCATTGTTGTTGTTAAGTGCTGTTAAGTCAATTGAGACAAAATTCATCAGGAACGAGAGTGGAAAGTAGTTCTTATTGAACCTATTTTGCTTCAGTTGTTTACTTTTATTTTCTCCTTTTTTAAATTCATTTTAATGAAAGTTTGCAGACTGTTGCACTTTTCTCCCTGCCCAATCCTCCCCCAACCGCCCCCCAAATTCACTCTTCTCCTTGAAAAGTAAAAGAAAAATTCTTTCATTGTTATGCAATCCTTCCCATCAAATCTGCTCCATTGTGCAGCCTTCACTCCGGACTCCTGTCATGACAATAATACCCATTCATATGTCCCTTTTAAACAGTTCTCTCCCTCCTTTGTTTCAGTGAAGTATACATCATTCCTCCCCTCCTTCTCTGTCTTCCCTCAACCCTGATGTCAGTCCTGATTTTACAACTACGCAATATTTGTCCTTTTGTGATTGAGATATTTTACTCAACATAATGTCCTCTAGGGTCACCCATTCTGTATAACATTTCATGAGTTCCCTGTTTTTCAGTGCTGCATAGTATTCCATTATGTGAGTAGACCTGAGCTTCTCTAGCCATTCGTTTGTTGATGGGCACTTGTGTTATTTCCACCTCTTTGCTATTGTGAACAAAGCCTCAATAAACATGAGTGTGCACAGTTTACTTTTTACAGTAAAATAAAGTACACTCAATGTTTACTCAAAATCTGTGGGACGAAATTTCCAAGCAATAATTTCACATTATTACTGCAAATTGTCTCAAAACTGGAACCCAAGAGCTACTAATATTCAAGTCTTTCTTTGATATTACTTCCATCAACTTGGCCCCATCTCACTAAACTATTCTTCAGATGACTCTATTTTTGTTCAAGTCACAGAATATGGAAAAAAATGCTATATTTCATCATTTATTAGCTATGGGTGAATTTTTATTAGAAAAATTTGGCTTATAAAATTAACTGTTCTTCATTGATTAAAAAAATGAAATCTATGAATTAGGCTAAAATATTTATGTAGTCAAAAGTACCAGGAAAAAATATTAGAACCAAAGAGTAAATATTCTACTATTTATCAAATACTATAGAAAAAACCCCAATTAGAGACATATGCAAAAGATACTGGAAAAGACATTTCAGGGGAAGTGTTACAGCAGCATTTCTTTGTGAAGTACGTACTGCTTTCCGTTTAAGGATGCAATCCAACCTCCAGCGATTTCCTTCAACCACTGGGCGTTTCAGGAAGATTTCTGGACTCAACCTGAAAGTATAAAATCAGGATTTCATAAAACTAAAACCAAATGTAAAGTTTTGATTGTAGGTTAGGACACAAAGGCAATTTTGGCCAAAATGAGAGATAACATGACTGTCTTCCACTATGATGGGCCTCCTAAAGTTTTGCTAATTGCCTACACACCATTTCATAGAGGAGCAAGCGTTGTTTTCCACAAAGGCAATTTCTTTCTCTCACGATAACACACACACACACACACACACACACACACACACACACACACACACAGTGTTACAAACACGGCCACTACACCTTCAACTGACATTTTCAATCCTCTCCTTTCTTGCACTGCGATCTAAGAGATGGTTTGTATTATTTCAGTGTTTATCCATTTACTAATGTTTACTCTATGATTTTAAAAGTGATCTTTTCTAGAATTGAAATTACTCTCATGATCCAACTTGCAGCTAAACAATGGACAGGTTTGTAAGGTCATCAATAACTAACACCAGGAAGTAATGGATCTCTTAAAACATTCAACCACACAAGGTCGAAGGGGCAGTATTTTCCCAAGGAAAAAACTCAGAGGGCAAGAGGGGAGAAGGAAGAAAGAGAAATAGAAACAAAAAACACACGCGAGTTGAGAAGAGAGCTGTTACAGGGCATGAGTTGGTGGGTTCC